TCCATATAACTCTTGCAACATGTTTAAACACAACAAATGTTTTACATATAGTATGGGGTATCACTTTTTCTGTGAAAGACATATTTTTGCATCAGCGTCATCTTAACTCACATCTAACGTATTGAAATTGCATCATATTATATCTATATAGATTCATCAAAAAAAGTTTCTACCCCTTCTTGACTCATATAAACTGTATTGATTTTATTTTATATATTATATCTGATATATTTAATTTATTACGACAGATCACACTACTTTCTAATTCCCTCATACATTCTACCTGTGCCATTTCTTTGTTCGCTAATACAAAGATCATCTACTCTTGCCTAGCGGCACACCTCACTAATCGAAGAGAGATCATCTCTCCATATCCCTCAATCTACCCATAAAGCGCACACCTCTGGGCTTCACCATCTCGTAGCTCTAGATCTTATTGAATATTATGTGTAAGTCAGCTCAATGGCCTATATATAGATCCTTTCTGCTCCAAAACATCACGCCATGTAGTAATGTTTAGCAACCCTACGATCCCCTATACGCAACGACGTGTCAAAACTATGGACGTCACTATCGAAAATGAACCTATCTGACACCCCTACACACCACACCGCACAACAATTACACACAGTCACACTCATGCCATATAATATTATTAATTCTCTTCTCAAAGCTCAAATCTACTTTGATTATCCTCAAAATGAAAACTCTACCTCGAACAAAACAGGCTGCTCTTATAGCCCTCTCGTTGATAAGTCTGTGATCTCTCTTGTTGATCTATAATACGCAAGAAAGAGAAAATCGGACAAATCGTCTTATCTCTTGATAAACGCTACGTGTAATTCTGTTTAAGAAGCACAAAATATTTCAGTTAGAAACTCACCAAATCAGCAGTCCTGGTTCTATCCACATTTCATACAAAAACCCCACACCACCCACAAACACGAAACAATACAAGAACATTAAACATAAATAATAACACAAGCCCATAACATACTTCACACATACAATAATAACTATTCCAGGCTATTAATACAGCGATCATAAGTCTCCAACAAAGCACAACGACGTCACAAATGTTTGAGCAGCTCTCGCAAATAACAC